TATTAATTATTAATACATCACAACGTGAAACACAATGATAAATCATTCAAACTCTCTGTGTTTTGCCTTCATCATCTGCAAAAGGGCACTAATAATACTTGCCTCATAGTGGTATTATAAAGTCAAATAAAAGTTCAAAAGGGTTTTGGAAAACTACCAAGTTTCTACGCAAGCTAAAGTATTAGCAGCGTTAGTCTGTATCATCCAAAAAATTCTGTGCCAAATATTAAAAATAATAGCTTGTGCAAGTCAGAAAAGTAGTTACCCTTGCATGGGTTGGGGGAATGTTGGGTCATATATAGAAAGGAGTAGGGAGGAGGTGCTTCTGGAATGCTGAAAATACTTTGATTTTTCATTTTGTGCTAGTTACGTAGGTTCAATTTATGAAAATATGTTGAATTGTACATTTATGTGCACTTTTCAGATGTATAATTCAAAGAAATATTTTAAACAAAAAATTGACTTGGAATATTATTTGGCATTAACTAATAATGGTGAACAAATACATAGCCTATGACCTAGCAATTATACTCCTACATATATATCCAACAGAAATATATCCATATGTTCACCTGAAGATACAGTAGCAGTACTCATAATCATCCCAAATTGAAACCTATCCACATGGCTTTCAACAGAAGTATGTATAATCACACAACAACATACTATGTAGTACTGAGAATGGACAATTATGTGCAACCATATGGATCAATCTACCAAATATAATGTTAACTGAAAAACCTAAAGACTCAAGCATACATGCATGTTTCCAGTTTTACAAAAACAGGCAAAACTAACCTATATAGTAGGTGTCTGGGATCTACCTCAGGAGCAGGGATGAGGGAGCTGGGGGATGGCAGTGACTAGAAGGCAGCATTACATGGGGTAGACTCTGAGGTATTGGCAATGTTCTATTTCTGGATTAAGATGCTGACTATGACTACATGGGTGTGTTCAGTTTGTGGAAATAACATTAAGCTGTCATCTTATAAGTACTTTTTGTATATATGCTGTACTTCATTAAAAAGGGTTTTTTTAACTTCAAAAATATAAAAATTAAAATGGGAATTAGCCACATTATAGCTACCCATCTTTATCCTTTTGCCAAAGAAAAATTACAGAATAATTTCTGATGCCATTAACCCAAAGAATAATTGAGTTCCTATAATGGGCTGGGCACTGTTACAGGTGTTAAGGATATACACAGTAACAAGACAAAGACCTCAGTTTAATGCAGATTACACTCTAGTGGGAACAGAGAAACAAAATAAGAAAATGAATAAACAAGAAGATAAGCCTAATATATTAGGTTGTGCTAATGTAGTAAAAGAATAAAACAAAGGGATAGAGAATGACTAGATTAGATTCAGTAGTAGGAAAAAGCTCTTAGGAAGAAGATATGTGTAAGCTGAGAAGTGAATAATAGGAAGAAGCCATATAAAGATGTGAGATGAATGTATTGCAAACACAAGAACACCATCTAAAATCTTCAGGTAAGAATAAATCTGGCTTGTTTAAGGAACAGAAAGACGACAAACATGGCAGAAGGTTTTAAATGGGGAAATGATATGCTTTGGTTTGCTTTTCTAAAAAGTAAACTTATTTACAGAATGAAGAATGTTTGAAAGGGTGCTAACGTGGAAGTAAGACAACCAGGTAAGAAGGTATTGTTTGGACTGCCAAGGCATTAATGAAGCTGAAATAAAGGGAATGGAATCATGATGTGATTTGGAAACAGAAAGGACAGAAATTGCCAGAGCAATTTGGATGTTTGAGGATGAGAAAATGGAAAGAATCCATGGTGACTACTAGGCTTTAAGCTTTAACAGTTTCATGAATGGGCAGGGGTCATCCACCGAAATGGGGCAAACTCAGAGAAGAGTGGTCTGGCAGGGTGGCAGGGTTGCAGGGTTGATGGTAGACAGGAGAAAGAAATTGAGAGTTCTGTTTTTAAGTTTTAAGACATTTTTAAGTTTGAGATTACTGTGAACATACTCTGTTCTCTAACCCATCATTGATCTAAACTCTAGTGTTCTCTTGCCTTGGCCCTGAACAATAAGCTTTAGAGACTGGACTGTTCCTATCTTCAAGCAGACAGAGAGCTAGATGGCCTTGGGAGATCAGATTGTCTTATTTGCTGCACTACTTGAATCTATTATTTGAATCCTACTTAATAATTCCACTATGAAGCCACAAATCCTTGGTACTGACCTTATTCTGCTACACTCCTGAATTTTAACAGTCCCCTTGAAAGATACCTGCATCATTCAGTTGAGGTCTGAAATTTTTTGAAGGCCACAAAGTGAAGACAAGGTCTTTCTAGCTTTCTGCTCCAGAGAGCTATAAATGAATCAAAAATCTAACGGGTTATATAAAAACCAATGACCACAATAGATAATGTAAGAACTCTCAGATAACATAGGCACAGCAGTCAAAACATAAAAAACAATATAAAAAACAAAATGCAAATTTTGTGATAGGGAGTTAAGCCACTTCTCAAGAAACCATATAGTTAATAGGACCTCAAATAAAAATTTTCATTAACACCAGAGATAAAAATTTTCATCATTAGAACTTACCATCGAAGAGTCTGTCAATAATGTTGTACCCAGCCCGAAGATCTGATAAAGAAAACTCATAAAACTTGGTCCAGCCCTGTCAAAACAAATTTAAAAAATACTAAAGAACTAAGCAATGTTCAAAGACATATACATATGCATCACTGTCCTTACAATCTTAAATAAAACTAGAAATGTATACTAAAAAAATATAACACCTAAGAATTTTTAATAAAAGACATACACAATAAATCTAAAGTGAATTTTTTAAAAAACAAATTTACTGACCACAGCATGAAAAGTACTTTATAATATTAGTTTTAATCACTTAAGTACATGGCAATATAGTCAGAACAAATTGGTGTAGTAAATTTTTTATTCTACTATGTACACACTGAGATATTTCCTATAATTTTATCCTTCAGAATTATGGATTTTTTCCACAAAAATAAAAACAGAAATATTGAAAAAAAAAAAAAAGGCCCCAAAAGCATAAAGCAATATTATCTGTATATTCATACTGAACCACAAAGCATTCATATTTGAACTAAATAAAATTATACCTATAATAGCTACAATCTTTGTATAAATAGAACAGTCATAAGGCTCTATATTGTGTAGAGAATAATATAAAACATAATTAAAAATAATTTCTATGGGGCTTCCATTGACTGTAACTAATTAGCCCTATGTAATAAAATAAGTTCAAATTAAAATATATTTAGGCTTGGATATTATTTAGGAATACTGATACATATTTTATTCATTCACCACTCAAAAATATTTTTAAAATGTGTATTATAGGTCAGGATCTGGCAATACAAGAATAAACTAAAACATAAATCATCTCTGTCTTTATGTAGCTTTCAGTCAAACGTGGGCAAGAGTACAGTAGAGACAATCGCTCAAATACATATACAACTATAAACTATAATAACTTTGATGGAAAGAAACATACTTGAATTGTTTGTATGTGTGTTTATATGCACACACGCATATATACACATATATGTATGGATACACACACACATATACATAAAAGAGATCTGACCAAGGGAAAATCACCCTGATGGGGAGCAGGTTGACATAGAAAGACAGACAAAAGTAGACAGATTTGAGAACTAGTTAGGAAAATAAAACTAACAGAATTTTTGCATTGGATTGTAATGGAAAGTGAAGATCCCAAAAAAAGAGCTGTTAAGAATGACTTCTAAGGTTACCTAATTCAAATGGATGGTGGTCATTCATTAATAAGTGAAACACTGAAAGAATATGAAGTTTGGGAAGAAATATTATGAAATCACTAAACAATTATGAGATGACTAAACAAAACTCATTAAACAGAAACTTATGGAGTACCTGATATATACCAGGCACTGTTTTGGTCAATGACAAGGTAGCAAACAGAGACAAAAATTGGCTGGGTGCGGTGGCTCATGCCTGTAATCCTAGCACTTTGGGAGCCTGAGGCAAGAGGATCGCTTAAGGCCAGTAGTTCAAGACCAGCCTGAGCAAAAGTGAGACCCTGTCTCTACAAAAAATACAAAAATTAGCCAGTGTGGTGGTACATGCCTATAGTCCCTGCTACTTGGGAGACTGAGGCAGGAGGATTACTTGAGCCCAGGAGTTCGAGGTTGCAGTGAGCTATGATGAGGCCACTGCACTCCAGCTTGGGCAACAGAGTGAAACTCTGTCTCAAAAACAACGAAAAGAGACAAAAATCTGTGCTCTTGGGAAGCTAGTACTTCTAGGACTTTATCCAGAATATGTGAATTTTCAGTTATCTTTGAGACATACACCTGGATAGGTCAATTGTTTGATATACAAACCTAGAGCTTAGAAAATTGATCTGGGTTAAATGTATAAATTTGGGGATCAATAACATTTGGATAATTATTTCTAAAAATGAGTATTATGAAAACAAAAGGTTTAAACTTCACTTACTAAGTTATAATATTTAAGAATTAAATATCTGTACGGGATACATACCCATAAACAGTTAATGAAATTCCCATAATATTTTAACTAAACTTTCTCCAACTCAAAACAAAGTCTTACTAATAGCATTTGTTACATCATTCTATTAGACTACATTTGTAAAAAGAAATGTTTATTTCCTGAAAAAGTTTTAATGTACTTTAAAGATCAATATTTATAAAAACACCCAAATTAGAAGACTGCTGCTATCAATATTACTTAATATATATCCCTATGACATGGTCTCTAATAACTAAATAGTATTCTATATTCTGTCTACTTTTACCTTCAGTGTTATGATTTTTATAAGATCAAATTCATGGTGTGAAAAAAAGGGACATTCTCAAACTCTGTGGCGAAGTGAACTGCTATATCCTCTATAGGGAGCAATTTTGGTAATATTTACAAATTTTAAAAAATATACATATCCTTTGGCCCAAACATTCCACATTTAGGAATTGGCCGCTGTGAATAAGTATTAAAGGAAGCACATATAGTGATATCTGTTGCAACATTTCTTTTTGGTAATAGCAAAAGCTGAAAAGAATTGTATGCCCATCCAACAATACAAAACTGGTAAAAATCGATATAATGTAATACAAATAATATTTTTAAATTAGGCATTAAATAGGTACTGATATTAACAATCTCAAACATATTATTTAAAAAGCAAGGTTCAGCCCAGGCACAGTAGTTCATGCGTATAATCCTAGCACTCTGGGAGGCCAAGGCAGGAGGATTGCTTGAGGTCAGGAGTTCAAGACTAGCCTGAGCAAGAGTGAGACCCTGTCTCTACAAAAACCAGAAAAAATTAGCTGAGCATGGTGATGTGCACCTGTGGTCCCAGCTACTAGGGCAGCTGAGGCAGGAGGATCACTTTACCCCAAGAGTTTGAGGTTGCAGTGAGCTAAAGGAGCAAAAGAAGGAGACTCAGTTTCAAGAAAACTAAAAGCAAAGTTCAGAACTGTGTTTGCAATATGCTACCATTTGAGTTAAAAGAACATAGGTATATATAAATTCATAAAATGTTTGTATTTTTATATAATATAAAGCACACCCAAGAAATGTTTAACAGTGGATCCCCTGAGAATAGAAAATAGTGGGTGGCAAGGGGATAAGGAGGAAGGAAACTAACTTTTCACTGCAAATCTTTTTACAGCTCTTAAATTTATACCATGTGCATGTATCACTTAACACACAATCAAATCTAATTTTCTCAATTAAGGTCCATCATTATCAGTAATCTTCATTAATCAGTCAGGATTAACTGATATCTTAGGCTAAGTGTGGATATCAGACCAGTTAGAGGCAAAGAATTTAGAGGAAGACGGGCCTAGCCATGTCAGAGCTCTATAAATTTTTAGGTGTGATTCATTGACCAAGTTAATTATCATAAACGAAATGCATTTTTCTCCTTTGTAAAATGAAAATAATAAGTGTACCTTTCCTATAAGCACAGTATGCAAATTATAGAAACAACACAATCCTATTATTGTTCCTCATTTCATCTGTTTGACAAATATTTATTGACAGGCTACATGTCAGTCACTGTGTTAAGCACTTCTCAACATTTACTATTTCATTTAATCCCCACATTAAAGGTACATATAATCATTATTCTCATTCTACAGTTGAGGAAACTGGTATTTATTGGGGTTAAAGCAATTGACCCAAGGTCACACATCAAGGAAATTCTAGAGTCAGGACTCAAATCCAAGTCTAAGTATAGAGTATAAGTGAGACAAAGGGCCCCAGAGGAGGTGGAAGAGATAGACAGGTCTTTTCTTCTCAACTATGGGCAGAAACTTGCATATTTTTTCCCAATTATAATAGAAAGCCATTTTATGGATTTTAAGCTAAGTAATGAAATAATCAAACTCATATATTAGAAAGATAATTCTGGCTGCTAAATGCAAAAAGCAGGAAGAACAGTTAGAAGGCTAGCTTAGAAAGTCAATACTGGTGAGAGGTGATGGAGGTTGGAAAAAATGGTGACAAGAAGTATACACATTTGAGTTACATTTTGGAAGCAGAATCAATAAAACTTGATAATGGATTGGATAGGAAAGCTAAGAAACAAAACATATCAAGAACAACTCCTGGGTTTTTCACTTGAAAAAGCAGAGGGATATCGATGCCTTTTTCTGAAAAGGATATACTAAAGAAAAAATTGGTATGGGAATTCAGTTTTTTAAGTTTGAGATGTCTGGGAGTCATAAACCATGGCAATACCTAACACTCACTGAGGCGTTATGATGGGTCATGAATTGTTCTTAATACTTTAATTCAATGAAATGTAAAGTAGGGAACTATGTCTAGGTAACTCTGTCTAGAAGATTAGCCAGAAAAGATCAGATTAGAGACATAAATTTACAAGTCATGAGCCAAATTATGATTAATCCTAGCTATTTATACTAAATTGTAAAAAATTCTAAAATAAAAAAATGTAAAGCTTAAAATATATCCAAGACATGTTCTTACTTACTTGTGGAATATAATTTCTTCTTTCTTGACATGCAGCATGAAACCATGCAAAACTGAAGAGAGCCTGAGCTCGATGTATATTATCTTTTCTGTTAATTTGCTCAGGAGTCCAAGACTCGTAAGTACGCATTAAATTCTTCTTTAAACCTGGAGGTGACTAAAGAAAAAAATTAATAGACTTCCTATTGCTAAAATTTTACAAATGAAATAAATCAGTATTTAACATATTTAAGAATGTATTTTGAAGAAAATTTTCTACTACTTCACAAGTTTGGCTTAAATTATTTTAGTACATTATTTTAAAATGTACAAAAACTAATTTCAAACTCCTTATGTATAACAGTTCATCTCAATTATAAGTACAGAATAATTTTTCAAATTAAAAAAATCTATACGACCAATAATATTCAAAATAACCAAGTAAGTTTTATGTGATCATTTAGGATTTTTTTTTTCACTGAAATGAAATCACTATTTACAATTTACAATATGATACTGATTGTTACAGGGCAGGTGTTTGAATTTAACGTGCCAGTTTTTCCTCACTAGTTGCTATTTAAATTTCCATGAGGACTTCGACAGACCATTTATATATAATATCAACTAAGCTTCCTTGCACATTAGTCCGAAGTTAAAGTGGGTATTACCTAACATTGCAAGGCTTATAAACACAAATACAAACCCAGGAACTGAAATTGTATATGGGACTAGTACTCAATCAAAAAAAAAAAGTTCATCCACATGCACAAGATATGTTTATATCATATTTTTAAATGATAAAAGAAAATTTTCAAGTTACTGGAAAAATAGCAAAA